ATTAATCGCTAGATTTATTCCGCACTTGTTCAAGCCTAGACCGTAATTATTTTAAAGCGCCTATTCACCCCCCCTCTAGGCGACATCCACGATCCTTTAGTAGAGAATATAGAGGTTTACCATGTCGAGGGAGGAACTCGACTAGTTTGAGGAAATTCAATGAGTTTATGATGATGGTGGTGATCTCGGCGAAAAACGTTTGAAATCGCCTACACGGTATGGATTCTTTGTAAGGTGAGGGAGACGCCCCCCTCTATGTTGCCATTGTTGCCCCTTATATAGAATTGGTTATGGACAACTCCGTGCCCGGACGCACATGGACAAGAGTCGGACACAGTGTCGATACACAACATGTTTGACCCTTTTTCTATGTTATGTAGCGTGTGCATTGCACCCAGATATTGTCTGATGGATGGTCTCTTCCTAAGGCATTGTTGCTTTTACATAGGTCGATTGGTTATCCTTGGACCCTGGAGGGCACTAGAGGGCATCAATACTCGTAATGCAGCGCGGTCTATGAGTAGAGTTGATGCGGATACTTGTGGACTTCTTGTCTTGTCCCTCTTGATGAACTGTAGGGTTGAATCCTCTTTGATGCTTCTTGATGTTGTAGATTGTCTTGTGATGTTTGGATTCTATAGTGGAGCAAGTTCTGGCTGTCGCGGGCGGTCTTGGCCCTTGCCTGAGGTGTTGGCTGGCTATTGTTCTTTGGCTAGGTTGAAGGTGTTTGTTCGACCACGTTTCTCTGTGCCACGCGGTCTGTTGGTGGTCCTCGGTTTCCCGGCTACGACGACGAGGTGCTGCAGTGACGGAGGTGCGAGGCTACATTGACGGTGCCAATTTCTTTGAGGTGTGGAGATGTGTGATGATCGGATGAAAATCTTATATGGCTTGTCGAACCGGTAGTGATGGCACCTGTGGTATCCACTTGCACCCGTGGTAGTGATGGCACCTGTGATAAGTCCCACACGTGTGGCATGAAGCAATTCCGCCCTGATGTTTTTTATGGCAATTTTAGTTATCCGAGGATGGCAACTTTAGTAGAGAAGCATGGCAAATTTCTGTTTGGATGACAAGTTTCAGTTTCTTTTGGGTTTCTTTTTTTCGGATGGCAATTTTAGTTGTAAAAAGGTCAAGACGGTGTTACTTCGTGTCACACGTGTGGCACTTATCATTTGGGTAAGGGAAATCCTTCCCTTCAGCCGGCGGATTATAACGCAGGGGTTGACCTCCTCTATCAAACGACACGTGTCCCTGTTTCCCAGCAACCTCTTATCCATCCTAGCTTTATCTCCTCACAAAGCAAACCATCCACATATTTCTTCTCTCTCAGGCATTCTTCTTCCCTTCTGTTGATTTCTCACCACCCCAACCACTACAAGGCAAGACTCCGGCACACCGTCGCTACTTCTACAACCTGTAGCAACACCTTTGTTGCAAGAAGGGAAACCACAACAACATGCACCACCACGGGCGCCCCCGGTGCTCCAGACGTGTCTCCAGCTGTCGCAGGACCAGATCCACGACATGGTGCTGTGAGTGTGTGCCGCTTGTGGCCTGGGACAAATTTCCATAGCTTTCCTGCTGCAGGATTTTGCAATGGGAGGTTACTGAAACACGACAGGTGTTGCAGGTATCCAACGACCGTTGCCAGAAAAAAAAATCTGAACAAGACCTTAGTTGAGAAAAAAAACGCAACAAGATCTTGGTTGCAAAACATTTTTTTGCAACAAAACCCTTTTTGCAAAAAGAAACCACAACACGGCCCTGTTGCAAAAATTACTGCAACACGGCCTTTGACTCCGCCTGATCCGATGTTTTGCAAGGTGACGGATCTTTTAAAAAGATTCGCAGGCCGACACGCAGAAATGCCCATGGGTAAAGCTATGATACACTCTTTTTTTAAGGCAAAACTATAGTACACCTGGACGTACTATTGAAAAAACTGGCCACGTTGGGGGCACGTAAGGCTAGTCATAGTGGGAGTAACTTAACTAGTAACACAGTGCACTTCGAGAAAATTTTGCTTATGTGACAAATAATTAATAAGAGGTGGTAACATAATATATTACTGTAACATAGCGTTTTTCAAGACAAGATGAATCTACGAGCTAATAAATGAAGCCATCTATGATACTACTATTATGTTACTTTGCATTATGAAGGTAATGATTTAGACTAGTTTCATATGCATAACACTAGTCTAAGTTACTCCCCACTATGACCAGCCTAAGAGCATCTCCAATAGACGGTCCAAATATAAAAATACCAAACTTTTGGACCATCTGGGGCAAAAAATGCTGCTCCAACAGACGGTCCATATGCAAAAAAAAATTGGACTGCGGCCTCCTTGTGATGTAAAATCCAATATCTTGCGATGTAAATATACATCACGAGATGCATCTGGTCCAAAACCAGCCGCCGCCCGCGAACGCCCAACCGCCACTTTATTTCCGTTCCTGCTCGCGCCCGTCCGCCCGCCCGCGACCCGCCGGCCGAAATCCGTCGCCGCGACCGCCCAAAACCTCACTGTCGCCCGCGTCACCACCCCACATCCCCGCCGCCGCCCTTCGGCGCCGTCGCCCCCTCGCCTCCCTGCCGCTGCCCGGACACCGCCGAATCGGGAGGCAGCCGGCGCGGGAATCGGCCCCTCCGGCGGTCCGGCTGCCGCGGTAGGCCTCCGCAGGGTCTCGGGCTGCCGCCGACCTGCTCCCGTCGGCCGTGAGCCTGTCCACAGACGTTGCATCGGCCGCACGACGACCGCCGCACCAATCCCTTCGCCCGGCTGCCGAATTTGTCTTCGCCGCCCACCGAGCTCCTCTTGGCCGGCCTCCAACCTCTTTTGTTATCACCGCCGCCGTCCGGAGCCGTCCGTAGCCGTAAAGCAGCAGCCAATCCAACCGGGGGCCATCTTCCCCCACCGCGCCCACAAGGTGTTCGGCGGAATTCCTCAAGGTAAAAAAATTGACAAAACTTGATGATTTAACTTGGGATTAGATAGTATGTTTGACGGTGGTCGTGTGCATTGTAGATGAGCTCGGTTGACTCCTCTTTCGTGGATGATTCATCGTCGGACGAGGAATTTGATTTCCATGAAGAAGAGGAGATTGCTATGCTAGTGGCCATGCACAAGAGGAAGAAACTGAAGCACGGTGGTTCCGTTTATGGTCGTGCGTTCATTCGGAGAGACCGGATTGATGCGCACAAACGGTTGGTGCACAACTACTTTGCATCATCACCTGTCTTTCCGGAGAATTACTTTCGACGTCGTTTTAGAATGTCGAAGGACTTGTTCTTTCGCATTTGCAATGAAGTGAAGCAGCATAACCCAGTCTTCGAGCAGAGAAGGAACTGTGCGGGGTTGCTTGGGCATAGCATTGAGCAGAAGGTCACTGCCGCTTTGTGCATTATGGCATATGGTGTTCCGGCAGATTACATTGATGACAACTTGGTGATGGCAGAGAGCACTTCTATCTTCTATGTCAAGCAATTTGCAATAACTATGGTAGGAGTGTTCGGTCCACAGTACCTGAGAGCACCCAATGCTCAGGACACTCAGAGGCTTTTGGAGATGAACAAAGCTCGAGGATTTCCAGGTATGCTCGGGTCTGTAGATTGCATGCATTGAAAATGGAAGAACTGTCCAAAAGCATGGCATGGAAAATTCAAGGGCGTGGGAAGGATGGCACTATCATTCTTGAGGCAGTTGCTGATTATGAAACATGGATTTGGCATGCATATTTTGGTAGGCCCGGTTCTTGCAACGACATCAACGTGCTCGACCGGTCACCTCTCTTTGCCAACTTAGCAAATGGAGAAGCACCACCGGTGACCTTCGAAGCAAATGGCCGCACCTACAACTATGGGTACTATCTTGCAGATGAGATCTGCCCAAGGTGGAGTACATTCGTCAAGCCGGTTGCAACACCTCAAGGTAAGAAAGAACTTGTCTTTCATAATGCACAAGCGGCGGCTAGAAAAGATGTTGAGAGGGCATTTGGGATTTTGCAATCCCAATTTGCTATTGTGCGAGGACCAGCTAGATTTTGGGATCAAAAGATCCTTTGGTACATCATGACCGCTTGCGTGATCATGCATAACATGACCATTGAGAACGAGCTTGGAAAAGATTTAGATTACAACTTATATCACTTGATGGGCATTCCTGTTAACCCCATCCGAAAAGAACAGCGCATCAGACGTTTCATGAAGGTGTACTGCGAGATTAGAGACAGCGATGTGCATGACCAACTCCAGAAAGATTTGATGGAAGAGCATTGGAAATGGCATGGCGAAAGATCCGCATAGATTCATTATTTGTTTGTTCAAAACTATGTTGTATTGTGCAAAACTATGTTGTATTTGTGTTGCATTTCATCTCCTGTATCTGAAGAACTATGTAATAATTTGATGTTGTGGACATGAAATTTTTTTATGTTGTTTTAAAACATGTTTTATGCAATATGTGCGGCTGTACAGTGGTTGGACAGCGGCTGAACAGCAGCGGCGCGACTGCTGGCCGGTTTTGGACCATGAATTTGGACCATCTATTGGAGTTGCTCTTTTAAACCATGAATTTGGACCATCTGTTGGAGTTGACCTTTTTTCGGAGCTCCAAAACACATTTTTTTTACGGTCCAAATTTTACATCTCCAATTTTGCACCGTCAAAATTTAAACCATCTATTGAAGATGCTGTAAGGAGTCGAGCTAATTCGACGGGCCACTCACTTGGCTCGATACACACTGGAAGGGGGCCCGGCGTTGGAGCGGACGTGGGGGCTGCCCATTGGGCGGCACCGGATGACGACGCTCTGATCTGCTCCCGGGCGGACTCGTCCCGTCCACCGACCGTCTTCGCCGAGCAAAGCTGCCGATGCCACCTGCCCACATCATGGTGGGAAAAAGGAAATCCACCGCGAAACCAACCCCAACAAAACGTCCCCGTCCGTCGACAACGCGGAGGACCCGACACCGACGCCGACGCCGACGCCCGGAGCCATGGCCCTCCTGCCCATTCTGGGCTCCCCCTCCTTCCCGTTCCCGGCCTCGCGCCCCGCCCGCCCGTCCAGGTACCACCGCCGACCACCAGTAGCAGCAGTGCCAGCTCCTTCCTTCGGTTAGTTTCTTCGCTTTAACTGCTGGATGAATGGATCCGCCGCGACCAGATCAGGGCGAGTTTGCGGTCGCCTCGCCGCAATGTGTGCTGCTTTTTGGATTTTGGATTGGTGTTGCTGCATTCTGTTTTGTACATGATACGAATTTCACATTCAGCAAATGATGCTTAGAGAGTTACAGGCAGGCGTGGGATTGGTCTCGGATTTCTGCTCCTAACCCGTATGTTTTGTTCCCTCTCCGATGCTTCTTCTTGGCAGGCGAAAATGTGGCCCTGCGGCGCGCATGAATTTCAGGTGCTCTGCAGGAGAGAGGGCCAACACTGGGATATCCAAGCATCTGCTCTCGTGCCTTGCTGCTTCCCTCGTCTTCATCTCCCCACCTAGTCAGGTAGCTGTGGTGCTCTTCTAACCTATCATCAGATGCACGTCTTAAACCGGTTCAGAGAGCAAATCTGCTTTGGCCATTGCCAAATTATCCATTTCAGCAAGAAAAAAAATGTTGATTCATAGACAGAAAAAAAACAGAGATAGTCAGTAAGGTTACCACCAGTTGAGACCCGCGACATGGTATCGATGCGCTCTTCTTGTTGACCAGGCTGTTCCTGCAGACACCTTTGCCCGGCCCAGCTTGTGCCAGGTTGCGGTGGTGGCCGCCATCGACAAAGGCGCCGTCCCTCTCAAATTCGACGCCCCTTCCGATGATGGGATGATGATGATGACCAAGGGCATGACCGCCAAGAACTTCGATCCAGTTCGCTACTCCGGTAGGTGGTTCGAGGTGGCATCGCGCAAAGGCGGGTTCGCTGGTCAGGGACAAGAAGACTGCCATTGTACTCAGGTACTGCAATTACAGCAGCCTCATACTGAATAATCTGAATTTTTTCTGGTTTACGAAGACAGAATAGTTGTATTATATGTCTGAAAAATATATTTCTCAACTGAATTATCGTAAGCAAGCTATTTGCATGGTATGATCGGAAAATTGCTGGTGCTGCAGGGAGTGTATACATTTGATGAGAAGGCGGGCGCGATCAAGGTGGAGACATTCTGTGTCCATGGTTCACCTGACGGATACATCACCGGTATCCGGGGGAAGGTGCAATGCCTGTCTCAAGAGGACATGGCTGGTGCGGAGACTGATCTCGAGAGGGAGGAGATGATCAGCAGCAAGTGCTTCCTGCGGTTCCCGACACTCCCGTTCATACCCAAGCTACCCTATGATGTCCTAGCGACCGACTACGACAATTACGCCGTCGTCTCTGGAGCAAAGGACACCAGCTTTATTCAGGTGGGGAACTGAATTTCTTCGTACTATAAACTACTCATGTCTAACCATCTTGAGAACATATAACCATCTTAATGTAGATTCTAGAGGGTAGTACTTTGTGTTGTCGAAGTCACCTAACTATCTGATGCACTCGTGATCTGAAATAATTTGTGTCTGACACTGAACCAGATATACTCAAGGACGCCAAACCCTGGACCGGAGTTCATCGAGAAGTACAAGTCATACGCCGCCGGCTTCGGCTACGACCCAAGCAAGATCAGGGACACGCCGCAGGACTGCGAGGTGTCCTCGGACCAGCTTGCGGAGATGATGTCCATGCCCGGGATGGACCAGGCCCTGACGAACCAGTTCCCGGACCTGAAGCTCAAGTCGTCGGTCGCGTTCGACCCGTTCACGAGCGTGACCCAGACCCTGAAGAAGCTCGCCGAAGTGTATTTCAAGTAAACGCAAACCCATCCGCTGTTCCACTGGTCGGTGTTTGCTTCTCCACACGGAAGCTGCACTTTGATAAATATAAGTAGGCCCCTTCAGTGGCTTCAGTCCGTCGAGAAACCATGAAAAACCATGAAAACTATATCTCGGAGACGGTGCCCAAGTCGTCGAGGTGCGTGACGGAGGGCGCGACGCACGATTTCGAGGTGACCAACTACCCGCTGCTCGAGGGCATGGGCGTCGGAACGTACATTAGCTCGAGCACGTTCACTGTCGGCGGCTACGACTGGAACATCAGGTTCTACCCGGACGGAGACAGGGAGGACGCTGCCGGCCACGCGTCAGCCTTCTTGTGTTACCTCAGCCCGGCCAAGGACGTGGTGATGACAAACTTAATCTTAACCATGCTGGACGATCAAGGCAACGTGCAAGCAACTGGGCAGTTATCGGGGGCCACCTTTTCTCCAGGGGAAGAAAATGATACCTGGGGCATCCAGAAACAAGCATGACAGTGCCCACCCAGGCTCCTCCCCGCTCGGGATTCCAGGCCGTCGGATCAGTTTTTTGATGTGTTCTGGACCATAGGATCTCGCCTTCGGATGACCTCGGCCGTCGGATCAAGCCCGGATCACTGCTACAAAGAATAGTAACCTCCATTCGATTTTTCTTACTGACTTTTCTTACTCTGGAATTACTTTGCTGCCTCGCTGACGTGTGGGGACCCTGGCTGGTGGGTCGCGCTGGTCAGCGTCTATGGCTGCGAGTGTGGCTAGTGTGGTTCGTCGGCGCCCTCCAGATCGCGCCACCGCCTGTAAAATTGGGTGGCCGCCGAGGGTATTTTAGACATTTCACGTGGTTAGGAAAATATCTAATAGGGCTGAGAGCCTAGCCGTCGCTCCCTTCCGCACTCTCGCGTCGCATCTCCTCCTCTCCCTCTCTCGGACCCTGACCCCGCGCTGGCATGGTCCCTGCCATACCGCCGCCGCCGCCGCCGCCTCCGCTCGCCGTCGCGTCCTCTCCTCCTCCACGCCACCTCCCACCCCTCTCCAGCCAGCCTACTCCCTCCTCCCTTCCCTCCCCACTCCTCCCATGTCCCTCGTTGCTGCACCACGCCCTCCCCCACCTTCAAAGGCAACCTGGACCTGATCTGGAGGAAGAAGAAGAGGGCACAAGAAGAGGAGAACAAGAAAGCATCCCCAACTTCCCCCTTCA